GAACACAATGGTATTTTTTCATTCCAAATTCCAAAAAAAGTTTAGGAACTAGATGTTTTTTTCAGTTTAGCCCAACCTGAATGTCGCCCTAAATCGTCCCAGCAAGATATGGCTCTATGTAAATTTGTGCAATTGGAATCCAAATTTCCTAATAAAAATGTTTTTTTTCCAAATTTAAACTCTCAGAAGACAAGCTGCACGGCCCGGGTGTGTCTTTAAAACTTCATAATGCAGCTCAGCTCGATTCAGCTGTAAGCAAGAGCGAACAGTCAAAGGCGCAACTCCCCAAAGGGGACATTTTGTTAAAGAAAACCTTTATATTCTGAAAACAGTTTGAAAAGAAAAACAAGTTCTAGTTGAATCGATTTGAAACATTTTCTGAGAACTGAGCATATAAGGAAGACTAAGAATAGTTTTCTTGCACTCAAAAAATTATGGAAAACGAATACATCGAAAAACTATGATATAAAGCCAAAAGACATTGTCCTCGCCTTCCAATAAAGCATTTTTTATCCATATACGTTTTCAGCCGTCTTGTTCATCTCATTTGTCAGTTCTTTCATTACTTTCAAAAAAGCATTTTGTAGACTCGCCTTATTCATGGTTTCCCTGTTCCTCTTGGCAAAGTTTTTTTGGATTAAATTTCTCGTAAACTGCACTTGCATTCCATACAACATAGGAACACATGAAACATGAGTGGTATACAATCGACACATCAGAAGCATATTTCAACAACCTGGCAATTAAAAAATTGAAGCGCTAATTACATTTAGTAAACTATGATTTCTCAGACAAACCGAAAAATTCTGGAATACATTTTTACTGTTTCAAAAATGATTGTTTCTACTGAAAACAGTCGAAAATTTAATGTTTTGTCTAGTACCGTATCGCAGCTTTTTTGAAAGATATCAAGAAATTTTCAACTGATATAATGTTTGTTGTATTATCCTTAACATTTTTTTTGCACTTTTTCGGGGGACCTATTATTTGCTTGAAACTAAAACTTTTCTGTTGAGATGAACTGGAAAATATAAAAATAGAAAAGATTTTTAAATAATATCGAGTTTGATCTGCGATTCTGTATACTTACTGTAGCCAGCACAAATCCGGATTCCATTGATGGCATCTTTTCCTTGTAGAAGTCAACGATTTCGAAAAGCGAGCTTTCAGATGGATTGAATTTGGCTTTAATCTCAAAGGAAGCAGTTAGTTTCAGAGTAGGAATTTGTAAGAAATCCTAACAATCCCACAACACCGCCAGCAAAATAGTCGTAAAACTTGTCTTCTCATTGAGGTACTTGAGGAATGGCGACCAGACCCGATAGCGGAATCTTTTTGCCACTTTTTATTTTCTGGATAACTTATTGCTCTTTTTCCGCTTTTGCAATACTTCTGAAAAATTTTATGGATAAGACTTTTAAATTTAAACTCAAAACTAGAGGCCATCGGAAACATGAGAATAATTGTTGTAACCAAGAGGACATTCCTCTAGAAAAATATATTCAAAAAGCTGAAAATACAGTATTTGTTGGATTTGCAACCTTCCATTTGGTACAAT